CCTGGACTTAAGCAATCCTCCCACCTCAGCCTCCCAAAGTGCCGGGTTATAGGTGTCAGTCACTGTGCTCAGCCTGGTCATGGTTTTTTATAAGACAGGGTGACCCAAACTTTCATTTCTGAAGAGTCTGGGCCATTCACAGTTCTGCCTAGATTGGGTTATTGTAGTTTCCCATCCTCCTTAATCACAAGGCATGGTACTACTACCAGATACCCTATGGGATCTCCTGTATTCCAGACATATTTTCCCTTTTCTGTATTGTGGAGTAGTATCCAGCTCCCCCTTGGTAGTCCAGACCAGTCACCCTACCCAACACCATAACTCCCTTCTTAGCCTATAGACTCAGAGGCAGGAGCAGCCCAAAGGTCTGCCAGGGGGTGGTCTGAACTTTCAGTTCAATAGAATCACTATTGCATCTCCTGGTAGAAACATTCCTCCCTCTAGAACTAAGATCTCTAGGGCAGCAGAATGTAATGTCGTGGAACAGGAAGCAAAAAATTTGCTAGTGGGTCACTAGGGGTAATAGTGAGTGGAGCTACTCCTATGCTCATTCCTTGATTCCTGGACCCATGAATACAAGCTCTCAGAGAAACAGCACCATATTGGATGCTGGTTCAGAGCATAAACAGCTTTCTGGAGAACCTTGCCCCACCCCTGTAAAGTATTATTAACTAGCTGGCTGCAATTTCAAAAGACCATTCCACTGTTCCATCAAGGCAGCTGCTTCAGGATGGTAGAGAACATGGTAATATCAGTGAATTCTGTGAGCATTAGCCCACCGCCACACTTCTTTGGCTGTGAAGTGAGTTCCTTGGTCAGAAGCAATGATGCGTGGAATACCATGATGGTGGATAAACCATTCTGTAAGTCCAAGCATGGTAGTTTTGTCAGAAGCATTGTGTGCAGGGAAGGCAAATCCATATTCAGAGTCAGTGTCTATTCCAGTAAGGACAAAATGCTGCCTTTTCCATGATGGAAGTGGTCCAAGGTAATCAAAACTGCCACCAGGTAGTTAGCCAATCACTCCAAGGAATGGTGCCAAATTGGGTGCTCATTGCTGGGTTCTGCTGCTGGCAGATTGAGGACTCAGCAGTGACCACTGCAGCCAGGTCAGCCTTGGTGAGTGGAAGTCCATGTTGCTGAGTGCACGCATAAACTCCATCTCTGCCACCATGGCCACTTTGTTCATGAGCCCATTGGGCAACAATGGGGTGGCTGAGGAAAGAGACTGCCTGGTATTCATAGAACACGTCATCCTATTCATGTGATTATTAAAATCCTCCTATGCTGAGTCCACCCTTTGGTAAGTATTCACCTGGGACACAAACACCCCCATGTTTTTTGCCCATTCAGAGAGGTCTATTTACATAACTCATCCCCAAATTTCTTTGTTACCAATTTTCCAATCAGGTTTTCCAAGTTCCTGACTATTCCGTCAAACCATTGGCTACAATATATCAATATATAGTTACATATCTGGCCACTTCTCATTCCAAGCAAAGTGCACAGCCAGCTGCACTGCCCAAGGTTCTGGGAACTGAGAAGATCTCCCTTTACATTGTCCATCAGAAATGTCCTAGAAAGGGACTGTAGTGCTGCTACAAGCCACTGCTGAGTGAGACCATCCACTTCCAGGTGATGCTTGCATATTTTCTGTAAACCAGACCCTAATCTTCTCTTTTCTAGTCATCCGATCATAAGGTACTCCCCATGAGCCCAAAGGTGCAGGCTGGGAGAGAGAAGATAGATAGTGTAGCGGAAGTGGGGAGCATGGGCATCTGGTCTGCTTCTTCTCGTCCCTTTTACAAAGTGTCGTGTTGGTAATGTACTTGTGCCTTCAGGACCTGCTTTGATGTGGTCACATATATACCACTTCCATTTGATGAGGGAGAGCTGCTGTGCACGTCAAACTTTACGGCTTAATGGATCAGATAACACCTAATTCATGATGGGCAGCTCAAGTGTCATGAGAGCTTGGTGACCCACAGTCAAGAGTTCAGCATCTACTAAGGCCAAGTATCAGGCCAAGAGCAGTCTCTCAACAGGATAGTAGTTATCTGTGGATGAAGAAGGGCCTTGCTCCGAAATCCAAACAGCATCCCCTTCTGCCACTGACACCTTATGATCTGCTGGATCACAGGAACCAAGTGGCAGAGCAGCTTTAACAGCAGTCTGGACCTGTTGCCAAGCCTTCTCCTGTTTTGAGCCCCACTTAGAGCCGACAGCTTTTTGGGTCACTCAGTGAATGGGCCAGAGTAACACACCCAAATGAGAAATGTGTTGCCTCCAAAATCCAAATAGGCCCACAAGACGTCACACCTATATCTTGGTTGTAGAAAGGGCTAGATGCAACAACTTATCCTTCATCTTAGAAGGGGTATCTCAACAGGCCCTCATCACTGGATCCCTAGAAACTTCACTGAGGTAGAAGGTCCTTGATTTTTAGTTGAATTTATATTCTACCCACTGTCATACAAATGTCTTACCAATAAGTTCAGAATGGTCACTACTACTCACTATGTCCAATCAGCATAATATCACCAATGTAATGGACCAATGTGACACTTTTTAAAAGGGAAAGGCAGTCAAAATCCCTACAAACAAAATTATGACCTAGGGCTGGAGAACTTATGTATCCCTGAGGTGGGACAGTAAAAGTGTATTGCTGGCCTTGTCAGCTGAAAGCAAACTACGGTGGATCCTATGGACAGATATGGTGAAAAATGCATTTTCCAGGTCAATAGTTGCATACTAGGTATCAGGAGATGTGTTAATTTGCTCAAGCAATGAAGCTACATCTGGTACAGCAGCTGCAGTTGGAGTCACCATTTGGTTAAGCTTACAATAATCTACTGAGGGTCCATAACAAATGAAAAACAACTCACAACTTTGTTACATAAAAGTTGAACTAGACTGGTCCCATTAGGTTACAGGACTTTTAAGAGGTGTCTGGGTTATGAGAACTCTTCCCTTATATATAGATCAAAGCTGTTATCACAAGAGTGGCTCAGGTATGGCCGGAGTGGGTTCATCCTCTCTTAGAGAGAGAAAGCGCGCTCTCTCTCTGTCTCTGTGTGTGTGTGTCTTGTCTCTCTTTTACCCTCTCACCTTCCACCATATGATGACTCAGCAAGAAAGCCCTCACCAGATGCCGGCACCTTGATCTTGGCCTTCCCAGTCTCTAGAACGTGAGCTAATAAATTCTGTTCATTATAAATTACCAATCTCAGATGTTCTAGTATAGCAGCACAAACAGACTAAGATAGACACTTTTAATTTCCAAGCAGCACCCAGGAACCTGACAGCGGGGGGCCCCAAATTTCAGCTCACAAGATGATAGGGAGTAGGGTGAAAATTTCCAAACTTTCTTCCATATTTATATATTTTTATCAATGTTTAATAATGTCCATTGTAGGGGTGTGTTTTATAACAGAAATACTATATTAGTACAGTAAGTTGCATCTACACATCACTTATAAACATGTAATCAATACGTGCCATTTGTAAATAAATAAATGTACATCATCTGGGATATGCACCAGCACACTAGTTTGGAGGCAACTGATCTACCCGAGGAGGCATCCCGTAGGTTGAAGCAGAGCCTCATCTGTGCTCATATTCTGAGTCAGACCTTGGCAGACTTGCAGCTCTGGTGCCAGCAGGCAAAGCAAGCTGTGTGGGCACAAGTTAAGTTATTCCTCACAAGCACAGCAGCAGGTGTTCCAAAGAGAAAACTTGGAAGCCAAACTGACACATTCCAGTCCTCTCTGAGAGTGCCAGCCACATGAGGTGTCAGGGCACCTGGCTGAGCATTTCTGGAGAGAAATGAGAGAGTGCAGAGGAAGAGGATGTGGGTTATGCCAAGGAAAGCCTCGCACTAGATCAATGACAACAGCAGCAAATGTTGCTCTCATTTACTGAGCGCCTGCTTCTTGCCAGCATCTACGCCAAGGTTTAGAAACAAATTACTTTATTTAATCCTTGTGAGGTAGGTACTCTAGTCCCCATTTTATAGAGGAGGAAACTGAGGTTCCGAGAGGCAAAATGACTTGCGTAAGGACACACAAAGTGAAGGAGAAAGATTCTGGTTTTTAGAAATATCGGCTCTCCAAAAGTGCAGTGAGATCCCAATGGAAACACTAAGGATTTTTAAACATTGAATTCTGAGCAAGCCACACAATAGAGCTATGCGCTAATGATGATACTTTCACCTCTTTGTGGAGCACTTATTCTGTACAACGCTCTGCTGAACCTTCTACAGATGCCTCCTTTAACTCTCGAGGGACCCTGAGAGACCCTGAGAGGTGAAGGGAGAGGAAAGGAGGCTGACTCACACAGGCTTCCTGGTGCTTCCTCAGCAGTGGGGCCTCTGATGCTGTCAGGGTCAGACCCATGGGATGGGGACCTTGGTGAACTGAAGCTCAAAGAGCCTGGCTGAAGGAGGTGCTCTTTCTCAGCCCCATGCAATTGTTGCCCCATGGAAATGAGGGCTAAGTTTTGTTGGATCTTCAGATTTTCCAATAGAAGACAGAAATCTGAACTTGTGCCTAGAATCTCCTGGTTTTATACTTAAACAAATTTTTTAGGATTTAAAACACTGCAGACCAAACAAATGGCATCCATGGCCCAGGAGACCTCTGCATTCAAGTATTCTTACCTTCTGGTACGTATTTACTCTGAGGGGTGTGAGATGCTTTATCTCCTATAACAGGCTGGAATGTGAGTTTTGTTACTATCCCATTTTACAGAGGAGGAAACTGAGTCTGAGAGAACTGCACACCCAAGGCCACAGCCTAGCTCAGAGACAAGACTGAGAGCTAAAATTTCTCCTGGTTCAGATGCAAGGCTAGGAGCTAAAATGTCTCTTGGTTCTTTGATGGGGGCTGGCCTAGGGCTGCTTTGCTTTCAGCTGTCATTTTGAGCTGTCTCCAGCAGTGTGAAGAGGAGGGAGGAGAAAAAGATGAAAGGAGAGGACTGGAGTCCATCTAGTCTGTCCCAGCTCCTGCCAGCCTCCATCTGACCCTAGGAGAACACTCCTGGACCCAAGCTCCGGCCAAAGAGCCTCTCTCCCACGCAGGCCGGGAGGTTGCTTTCTAGGAGCTCAGGATGCAAAGGTGGACACTGTGGGCTGCAGCCTTCCTGACCCTCCACTGGGCACAGGCCTTTCCACAAACAGACATCAGTATCAGCCCAGGTAAGTGCAAGGACCAGGGCTGGAAGCAGGCAGAAAGGCGTACACTCTCAGGAACTTGTTCCATCAGTGAGGCCTGGCAGCTTCTGTTGGGGGGTTGGGGTGCCCTGACCCGAGTCTCCTGATATCTTTCCCCCTACTAGCTTTGTCATGGACACTCTTCTAGGCCCAGACACAAAAAGTACTGGGCTTAAATCCCAGTTTTGCAGTTTACAAGCTGCGTGACATAGAGCAAGTTTCTTAATCTCTCTGAGCCTCAGCTTCTTCTAGAAGGTTGGGTCACAATGGCACTCTCTTTGGGCTACTGTGCCAGGCAGATAAGATAACATGGGGAAAGTGCTTTGCACGGTTTCTGACACAACAGGAAGGTCTGACCATGGTAGTTTTGGGAGGGATTTGGCAACCAGGCCCCTACCCCACCTTGGCTGTGACAGCCTTCCTAGGGAGCTTTCAGAGCCGCTGCTGTGTCACCAGAGTTTAGGTGTACAGGGAGGGATACTTGTCCCTCTAATGACCTCCCTGCAGATACCCTCTAATTGCCTCTGCAGATACCCAGCAATACCCAGCCCTGTGGGGTTTATGGAGCATCCCCAGGGATGAGAACCTGTCAGCCTTGGGCATATGGCCCCCCAGTGTCCCATATGGAGGATGAGGGTCTTCACATGAGCTCAATTACTTCTACTTTGCAATAGAAGGGCTGGGGGTGCTGATTCTGGGGGATCCCCATTTGGATGAGAAGAGTTCTGAATCCTGTAATTTAGTGGCTGAGGGTCTTGATTGTTCCCTCTACCAGGTTCTTTCCAGGCATCGTTTAAAAAACATAACATTAGCAATATCAATAACAACAACTAAGACATAACCCTAGCTATGTGCCAGGCCCAGCTCTCAGCACTTTTCAGATGTGGATTTATTTAATCCTCATAATAACGTTCATATATGGATTTATTTATCATCACAATGGCAGAGATACCATTTTTCAATCCCCGTTCAAATAAAACTAGTAATGAAATACCTGGATGGAGATTCTCATAAGGCCAAATTATTGGGCTGTGATAGTGTTAGGGTAAATTTAAACAGTGGGGTGATAATGTTGCCGGATAAAATACCAGTAAATAAATACCAATAAATTCTTTTTTAGTGTAAGCATCCCCCAAATGTTACATGGGACATACTTTTACCAAAAATTATCTGTTGTTTACCTGAAACCAAATTATCAAATTTAACTAGGTATCCTTTTTTTTTTTTTTTCTAGCATCCCTAGTGGTAACATTAAGGGGTAGTCTTAGTTCATTTGGGCAACGGGTTTCAGTTCCGTCCTAAACTCTCTGAGTATACTAGTCAGCTCAGGTTGCCAGAGCAATCTATCACAGACTGGGAAGCTTAAGCAACAAACGTTTATTTCTCACAGTTCTGGAGGCTGGGAAGTCCGAGGTCAGGATGCCAGCAGATTTTGTACCTAGTGAGGACTCTTCCTGGCTTGCAGATGGCCGCCTTCTCACTGTACCCTTACATGGCAGAGAAAAAGAAAGCTCTGGTCTCTTCCTTTTATAAGGGCACTAATCCCATAATGAGGATGGGAATTCCATTCAAATCTAATCACTAGTGGGAGTAACCAGGGGTGTTTTCTTTCACTAGCTTGTGCCCATGGGACCTCTCTGAGACTCAAGTTTCCTCACCTCTCAGAGCCCCAAGTAGGGATAACAAGGGTCCCTATCAAGGATTTTGGAGATCTTCAATGAGCTCATGCAGCTGAAATGCCTAGCACATAATAAGCACTTGAAAAATGAGTTATTACCACGACCATGTTTGTCATTGTGGTTGTTGCCGTTATGCCAGAATTGGCCAGGAGACAGTTTTCTGTTCTGATAAAAGACTTAAACATTGAAAGGAACTTCTTTAGATATCTCCCCAAGCCTCACTCCTACTCTATAGATAAGGGAACTGAGATTGTGTCAATCCCAGCTACCTGGGAGAGCTCAGAGTTTGGAATTGGAAGGATGGATTTTAGAAATCCACTCAGCCCAACCTTTCCATATTACGGCTATGGAAACTGAGCCTACAGAGGCCAGTTGAGCCAGCCATGGTCATCACTGTCCAAGTGGTAGTTCTACTGCTCCTCAGGCTCCCAGACCTGCAGAAAGACCAGTTTCAGCCTATGCAGACAGATTCTTCAGAGGAAAGTGATTTCAACACAGAGAGAATATGTGTGAGTTTATGAGTGCCTGTGAGCAGGAGCATGCATGTTGATGTGTTGTAGGAAGGATTTAAGGGTCTCTGTGGGCCTCTGCAGACCATGAGAATACATGTACCTCCAAGGCCCTCCTTATTGAGAATGGGCTTGGTTTTTCCTCTTCTTCTGGGTACCCCCAGCCTTTAGTGCAAGGCATAAGAGGGCACAAGTCATGGGTCATTCATCCCACTACTCCAGACCTTTCATCACTCACCCCCTGCATATGCAAATATATGCAAATAGCACAACTCCCCCTCCCCCTATGTTTTGGAAGAAAAAAAAAATACTCTTCAGACATCTTTTAGAGACTTGGGAGGATTTAGCCAGACTAAATCCTTTTTCCAAAACCCCTTCTCTAAATCTGCCTTTGATCTCATTGTTTAAGTGGATTAATGAATGTGAAGTCCTCAGAACAGTGTCTGGCACCCAGTAAGAGCTATGTAAATATTTATTCTTCTTCTTCAACCATCAAAAAGTTTACTTTCCCTGACCTGACACCAAAAACTCTCTGTAGCAAAGGAAATTTATAGCAAAGTATTCTGCAGCTCAGGACCTGCTTCTGCAGGGCTCCAGGAGGGTAGATGGGGAATGAGTCAAGTTCTGTAGCCTCTTCCTCACCCATCCAAGGGCCTCGCATTGCACTCTCAGCTCTGTGAAGGTTCTGGGACCCAGACTGTTTCTACTGTAATAATATCTAATACTTGCTAGAATGCCTACCTATGAGCTGGAACTGGCTTTTCTGTGAAGAAGGCACTATGATCATGACAACTGTACTGATGAGAAAACTGAGACCCCAAGAGCTGAGTGTCCCACCAGGACCATCTGACTCCAGAATCCAAGCTCTGAAGCTGGAGCACAGAGATCGAGTCAACAGTGTTCTTACCTCCTAGAGCAGCCCAGATCCCAAAGTGTCCCTTGGACATTCTGTCCAGTTTCCACTCCTCCTCTATGGTCACAGAGCAAGCACTCTGTACATGCTTCTAGAATACTTAGCATGCGATGACTCTGCCAGTGTGTGAGTTCCTCCTTCCAGACTGTGAGCAACCTAAATGCACAGACCTCAAGTCAAATAGGCACCCAGGAAACATCAACTTATTTGCTTGATTGTTAAATTTGATGTTTAATATGCTTATTTCACAAATGAGAAAACTAAGACCAGAAAGAAGATGTCTTCTTGAGGCGCTAGTCTGTTCAGGAATTTCTAAATCTGTCAGACTCGAGTCTCAGTCAAGTCTCAATTATGGCTCTGCCACCTTGGAGCCAAGATAGTAAGTGATTTACCTTCTCTGAGCCTTAGTCTTCTCATCTACAAAATGGGGAAGATGCCAATTCCCTCCTAGGCTGATCTCAAGGAGTCACGTACTAAACACCCAATGAATGACTGCTATTATTAGTAATGTAAAAAATTATGTAATGCTTTTTCCTCTGTATTATGTGGCCTCAAGAGTGGCTCACAGAAGGGACAGCGAAGCTTAGACAGGAGAGCACTAGGGCCACCAGTTCCACTTCCCAGAGCCAGGGATCACTGTGAAGGAAGCCACAGAACCCACAGGACAGCAGGAGGGGAGTGAAGGTGACCGATTCCTCAGGACGCAGCAGCCACCTTCCTGGAGTCTGTGAGACACTTTCTTCCCCACCGCCCCGACCCCCGCCAGGAGTGCCTGGGGCCCAGTATGGGGACCGGGTGAACAAATGTGGCCCCTACGCCTCCCCACCTCCCCTGCTGGCTGAGTCCCAAGGCTGATCTGGGCAGGAGGCAGCAGGGTAGTGCATTCGTGGGCGGCTGGATTGGGGCCAGGGGAGCCAGCAGCCAGATTGAGTAGGAAGGTGACAATTTATTCCTTTAAAAAGAGTGGGGGTGGGGGAGCCCTGAATTCCACTGATGTGGTTTTTTTTTTCCCCCTAACAAGCTCAGAGTTCCCAAAGGCTTTGACTCTCACCCCAGCTGGGGGACCTTGGGGGCCTCTGGTGCTGCTAATTGAAGGAAAAGACCATGTGGTTTGGCTTCCTGGTTTCCAGAGCAACAGCCCCTTTGTGTGTCCCCTCCCCTCTGCCTCTCTCCCTCCACTCCCCCTCCCTCATGCCATTCTCATCTCTTCCCTCCTCTCCCTCTCAAATCCCCAGCCGTGCTAAACTATTTCTAATTCTCCAGTGCTCCATTCTCTCTCACACTCCCAGACCTCCGCACATGCAGTGCCCTACCCCTGGAACGATCTTTCTCTGACTCTCGTTCATCCTCTAGGTCTCAGTTGAGACAGCGCCTCTTCTAGGAAGCCTCCCAAATCTCCAGATCTGGGTTATGTTCCACTTTTAGGTGTTCCTGTGGCAACACCCTCTTTTCCCCCATCCAGGAAGGGAACTCATGGTGCCTTGTCATAATCATCTGTGGGCTCCTTGAAGATGGGGACAGGTCAGCCACCAATTCAACTAGGGAGAGAAAGGGGCAAAGAAGCAGTTTCCAAAATAATCGAGAGGGCTGCTCCCTGAAGTTTTGCTGGCATGACACACATCCACAAATTATATTAATTGCATCTTCATTTTTGCACTTCTTTTTCTTTCTTTCTTTTTTGCTTATTTTAGAGACAAGGTGTTGCTCTGTTGCCTACTGCCTGAGACCAAGTAGGTGCTCAAATAGTACTTGTTGAATGAATAAAGGAATGAATAAAGGGACAGACCATCAAGACTGGAGCAAAAGAAAATGGGCTTAAATGCAGTAGGAATCTCTAGGTTTGGGGCTAGACAGGCTGGCTTCAAATCCCAGCTGGGAGCTGGG